TATATATATATATATATATATATATATATATATATATATATAATATCCAGAGATAGAATAAAAAACACACGTGAAGCGGAGGAAACAATCTCGATATACTTGCGTTATACACGTGCACCACGAGGACCAGAATGGGATGCGTGTCCGATCCAAGACTTTACACGAGACAAGCACATAAAGACAGATCTTTCGTGGTCATATATACATTGCCGCACACAAGCACATAAAGACAGTGGCTTGTGTGGTTAATGAATTGGCCATGCACATGCCGCCTAACGTGTAAAGTGTAGCAAATACTCATCGTGCAACACGAGGGATTCTCAAACCATTCCGTCCACAGTGCCACTTACATCACGCAACTCGTCGAATAGTCTCTCTCTGCCACTCGCCGATCCCATTGCATCATATCTGTCGTCGGAGCGGATGCGACTCTTTACATCTCTATAACTAGTATACGAATCTACTTTTCCCTTGTCGAGAAGTAGCTGCCTGAAACCTTCTTCCCGATCAGAATGACTGCAAATACGAGACAGGGGGTACACTGGAGAGGTTATTTTCCAAATAAACGTATGTGAAAATTAAAATTTCAACGGTGAATGTGGGTTCGTAAGGCACCTGAGGCGTATCGAGGGCAAAGTCACGATGCAAGTTCCAATTAACATCTGAAAGACAAACATCAACCTATTGATGGAAACATGTAATACGCTGAACACGTCTGCAGCCGTTTGTGAATTGCAATAGTGTGCAGACGATATCCGCAGCACCCATTACCACAGAAAAGCTACGACTCGCATTTATATTTGTATATGCATTGTGCAACGGTCAATATTCACGAAAATGCATACAGACTCGCAAACTCAAAATCTGCCACTGGGATCAAAGTCACTGGATACTCCTGTCAGTATGCTCGTGAGGGGTTTTAGCACGTGTATTTGTAGATGGGCATATCCGTATATATATACCTACCCCAAGACACATGGCAAGAGATACGGTGATAACACCTTTGGCTTGTTTCAACTACAAACTCGATAATCATACACATATTATGTTTGCATTTATTTTTAGATATGTGTGTTTTCAGGAGTACAGATATTTATACTGGTAACTTTCAATACCTGAATGTGTATGCTATTGATTCGAGAACGAATTAAAATGCATAAATATGAATTTTCAGTATGTAGAAATTGAATTCGTATGAAAATTCCCTTTGACCTTGTTGGGACATACCTATGGCCACCGCCCACGCCATTGTGTGAGGGGCTCGGCGAGTGTGTGTGCTTATGCGAATTTTCTATCGCATGCTTTTGATTAGCAACATCAGGAACCTCTTCGTCCAACGCGAGTTTGTAAGCTTGAAACATGTCGACTCGATCCTTGTCGGTTCCATAATTTTTGAACCGATGGTCCTTTCTGTATCTAGCAGCAAACTTGTACCAATCCGTATTCGCAGATACCTTTTTCTCCTGTAAAATTGCCCATGCGTGGACTATGAGTGATCGAGAACTAGATTTTCCGATAAATGGGAAACCTCGCCATATCATGCGTACCTGCCCATGTGTGAACCCAGTATGCATGCAAACTCAAACATAAAAATGAGATATATACATATACACAATCAAGGCTACAATGTACAGTCATCCGAACTGTGAAAAGTAAGAACATAGACCTCTTCTGTACGAATGGCGCACCAGCTCGCACACAAGCACATGCATACGAGCCTTCTATATACATCATCAACCACTAGATAGTATCGCTGCGATTTCGTAGTGGCCAACGGTTGATTTCGCATATGCAGCACAATTCAAACGCACTATGCACTCTTTCACGAATGATATTTCTCGCGCAAATACACAAGTACAATGAGAGCACCGAGGCCTTCACAAGACACAGCTCCAGCACTACACACACATTTGCGGCAATTGCCGACAGCACAACCCCACTCACCTTCAACAAGGCCATGAAATGGTCCTTAGGTTGCAGCGCAGGCTTCCTGTCTCTTTTGTTTAGATTGCGCACATGAACATCAAACAAGATACGCTTCTCCTTTGGTTTGACCAGATTCCACCTCTTGTCCAGCATGAGTCGTGTTTTGACCTGTATTGAAAACGTGCCATTGTTAGGATGGTCAGAATTTGGGGAAAGGCTTTGTTTCAGATTTTACTGAAAACTTTTGTTTGTGAACTGGCCATTCTGGTTTAAGGCGCGGCTTATGATTTTAAATTAAAAACTGAAAAGAATATGCTGCCGTATAGTTGAAGGCCATGTGCAGCAGCTGTTGACAACTTTGAAACATCGTGCACTATTGCGCGATGAATGCTGTGAATTAGAGTCACGGACTTATGGACATTTGAGAAATAGAAAAAGATTAGTGTGAACGCATATTAATGTGATCATCCAGATAAAGGCACTGTGCTCGCAATTGTGTGTTTATCTGCATGTGCTGTGGGTTCTGATGGATGTGATAAATTAACTCGCTTACTTGCAACCAACTTCAGCCGGCATAATACGCCTCAACGCAGCAGAAAAAATACGATAAATATCCAATCGACTCTCTAGAGCACTACACCTCAACTAAGTAGTCACAACCTACTACAACATATCCATGCCCACTCGGCTAACATGCGAATATAAGCACAGGTACCGGTTACTTTTTGTCCCACACACATACCACATCGAACGAATCAAATGCTGTGATCGATGACTCCTCGAGCATCTGTTTAAAGTGTTTCTCCTTCTGATCCTCAGGCAGATTGTCGTAGTGGTCCGATGAGTCATCATCTGAGATAACTCCCGGTATTACAGCGACGTGCCCATACGGATCTATACTTCCTACGGTCTGGATTTAGAGATGTGAAGTATTTAGAATTTGTTCTACGGTGATTTTCCGACATCAAGTTTGAACTACACACGCAGACTTGTTCAGTGGTCGACAAACGCATATCCCACGCAGAAACATGCATATATCAATGACTAATGGATACACTCACGAGTATACAGCTGGATGGTGAACAAACTCAAACGCCCAACAAAACAAGAACAACAATCTAAATGGTAGCCTAGCACGCCGCACAGGTACAAGCCAACCACAAACGAGGGGATGTCCCTGACGGGGAACATACCTTCGGCTTCTTGGCGTCCTGCTCTGGCTGATCCGAATGGGTGCGTTTGCTTGAACTCCGTTTCCTGCTCTCCTTGTCCCTCATGTATTGCTTGCATATCTCGTCGATTTTATCGCCGTCGTAGCCCATGAGATCTAACTCCATAGGCAACTCCCAGATGGATTGTGTACCGTTGTTGTAAAACTTACGCCCGCTGGCAGTAATGATGACCATCCACTCCGAGTCTGTGAGCTTCACTTTGCCTGTCACAGATGTAGCAACGAATTTCAAATGAATACGCAAGTGATGATCTTAACAGTGAAGTATAGTGCTACGAACACCTGCGGTATATCGGTACGTATATATAGAGAACTGTTCAAGAATTATCGATCTCCGCTTCACCTGCAGCGATGTTGCGTCTACTAGTGCGGTACAATATAAAGGAGGGGGGAGGGGGATCACTTACGGAGTATATGAAATATGTATAAATTTACACACAGCCCCAAACACGTGGAGGTTCACTCATACACGCACAATTGACCATGGAAAACCGTATTCAGCTAGGCCCACGATAATGCGTGATTTTACTTCCATTCCAATTTCAGCCCCATTCATACACATACCTACGGGTTTGTCATTCTTGACTGATTTCTTGTCTTCCCCTTCGGTCGCAGTAGTAAACTCGGTTGTTGTCTTGGTTGTAATTTGGATATGAGTAACGTCATTTTCAACACGAATAGCCTCTGCATTGCTCTGGGGGCCGCTTACCCCCTGCGATGTCTGTGGCTGAGCTGATGTATTTGAATAGGTCTGTGGCTGTGCTTGCAGATGTGGGTCTGCTTTTGAATATAGCATAGGTTGGCCTTGCTGCATGTACAGCTGCGCTGGGGCTTGTTTCTGCGGCACACCATTCACCGCACTTATCTGGTTATTCATATTTGGTGGGCCGCCAACCATTCCCGGCAGTTGACTCTGTGACAGCCCCGCCGGGGTTCCATGCGGCAACTCTTGTTGCAGTTGCCTTTGTATTGGTTGTGGCTGTGTTTGCTGGACGCCTGGTGGTGCATCAGCTGGGTCGCTTCCGGTTGCCGGGATGAAGGCAGTCGCCAGATCCGCTGAATTATGTCGTATAGTAAAGATAAGTACAACACATCTCAACGAGAGTCCACAGAATAGAAGATATTCAATGATGAAAAACGCATATATCCTCTACCTTGGCAGATCTGCACATGTATAGACAAGCAAATAAATACACATATTCTTAGAGCAATATGTATACAGATGTATATAGACTATATGTGCATACATACGTAAATTATCTACATCTAAAAATATGTGGATAAATATTTATACAATTGATAGTTCAAGTTTGCATAACATGTACTAAAATATACCAGAATGAACCTATGTATTGGTATCGACATCCTGAATTTCTTTTTGCATACTTTCGTAAGCCGTACAGTGGCATAAATGTGTTCATACACAGACATCCATGATATAAATAATCAAGCATGAACACATCCCCATAAATTACAACAATATCCCGATTGTACAAGGTAATTCGAAGCCTTTGCCAAGTAATAAATATAGATGAGGGTCAACACCAACAACATGTACTCACATATTGTGGATATAGGCAGGTGCAAGTAGCCGTTCAGCAGCCTGTAAAGTGGTATGGGGCATAATCGTAATATTTCGGTGGGTACAAAAGGCTTGCAGTAGTTAAGAGGGTGATAGTCAGGACTGTAGTGAGCGGTTCCCTTCCGTAGTAGTAGATGTCTCATGATATCGCTTCGTGATTGTAACAAAAGAATGTATGTTGCCAATGGAATTCGATAAATAGCAAGAAGATAGACTGATAAAGAGCTCACGCAATATTTCACGGTGGTGGGCGAGAGAGAGTGTGTGTGGGATAAATAAGAGGACAAGACGGGGGTGAAGTTTTGTAACCAGGTGGCGATAGATTGTTGTGAGTGGGATGTTATGCCACAGTGACCCTTTACGTATGTGCGAGTCCCTTGTAGCAGCAAACAGTGTCCTTTATGAAAAGTGTCATACCCATGACAAGGTCTTCGTAGAGGCGGAGCTGACCACATTGTTCACGTAACTCAATAGACTTCACTGCCAACTGCACTATTTGCCGACAAGAGACGTCATACCTGGCACATCCCAGACTGACTGTTTCGAAACCACATTGTAGTAGTAGGGCTTTCCATTGTCCTCGTACGTCTCCCAGACCTTTTTCATGGGTGCACCCAGCGGATGACTACCGGGAAGCGAATCTGGTGTGAGATATCAGCAAAGGCAAAGACCAACTTAGTCACTATCAAGCCATTGAATACAGAGCCAAAAGGCGGTCACGAAATGTAGTCAATTTTATGTCTAGAGTTCTATGCGACGCGAAATAGAACTACTTTATATTTCCATGAATACACATGATTTGTATGTGAAGACGGGGCTACGCGTATGATCGACTATACAAAAAATTCAAATGTTTTCGGCATAGCTAGAGACCATTCTATTGACATACATTTCTGCATCCATTTGATTGACAGTACAAAAGTAGACCACAACGATAACTCTTTATATCCATCTACGCGAAATCTATGAATCTAAAATGTGGGCCTCGCATGCGTTGAAACTAAGTTGCAACACCGTGCTCTGCAAATTTAACTGACAAAGGAATCAATCTGTAGATCTCTACTAGATAAGGCAAAGGCTAGATGAGCTGTATCGTGCAATATCCTGATAGGAGACTCGGCTGTTTTCACGCGACATTCACAAATATTGCTACATACCAGATCCGGGGGGGCCAGAAGGTGGACCAAAGCCAGCAGGGGGTCCATTCAGAGGTGCAACCCCTGGAGCGCTTTCGTATGTGCTTGCTTTCGCTGTCTGTGGGGCTACATTGTTCAAACAGTTACTGACTATTGGAGATGAAAAACAATGTGAATCGTACCAAAAAAAAAGTGTATGACTCTGTACACCAGCATAATTACGAACAACTAGCACATAATTTAAGCAAATAATATATGACGTACATGAAGTATTGAGAGTGTTTCACGAAAGCGAATCCTAAACTTCATGTAATATATATATATACATATACGTACATACACACACATAT